CCATCGACCCCCACCGAACCCCCATCCTCAGGTGTGTTTTTCTTTTTAATTTTGCTGTTAATTTTTGAGTGAATAATGTGATTTGGGAGTTAGGGTTTAGTTTAGCAATTATTTACATATGAGAGGGTTTAACAATTATTTTTAAGAGGGATATTCATCAAATTTTGCTAGAATTGGGGGAATAATGTTTTGGCTGTTAATTTTGCTGTTAATTTTGCTAGAATTGGGTAGGATTAGTTTTTATTTTGTGCAATAGGATGAATAATGTGATTTGGGAGTTAGGGTTTAGTAATTATTTACATATGATGAATAATAATTAGGGGTTTAGCCATTATTTGGAATTTATTCAGATATTAATAGATTATTTGCATATGATGGACTGTGTATTTTCAGTTTCGATGACGAACTCCATATCCATTATTTGTTTCTTTAATGGGAGCCTCGGCGTCGGAGTGAATAATTTGCCGGTGTATGATGGAGGTTCTCGGAAAATGTTCATGCTATCTAAGTCGTGTAATTTTGATGGAATGACTAGGGAAATACACAGAGTTACTAAAATTAAGAAAGAAGAATATACAATTAAGGTGTTCTTCAACTGTCCTATAAATGAGAGTAGAACTATTGCCGTGGAGATTACCGAAGATGAGGAATTGAATGACATGAAACAATTAGTCGAGAAGCAAGCGTCAATTGAGTTGTTTATTGAGAAGTATCCGATTCAGGAATTTGCCCAAGTTTCACGACCTCAAGGAGAGTTTTCTCGGATGCTTGACTTAGACAACGAGTCGATTGGTTTTATGACATCTCCAAGTCAAGAGCCATGGTCTCAACCACAACATTTAAGTAGGTATTCTATCGGTGGGACGTCAACTAATATATTTAACAACGCTCCACCAGTCGGAGCAATTATAGAAGATGAAGCAGATGATGATTCAGATCATTTTGAAGAAGATGGCGTGCAAATTGATAGCATGCATGTGGCAGCTGGAATCGATGATGACACCCGTTGGATGGAGCAATTTACAGTTAACAATGATTATGTGGAAGCTGAAGATCCGTTGCCCGACGAGTTTCATAATGAGGATTGGATAAATACTTCTCAAGCTGGATTTGTTGATGTTGGGCCAAATTTACAACGACCTGAGGACTTCACTTTTAAAAAAGGGGATCTATTCGAGAACAAGGAGGCACTGATTTTTGCAATCCGAGAATGGTCCATCAAGAATCGGGTCAAATTAAAGCCGGTAAAAACTAATGCAACAAACTACAATGTGAAATGCTTCTTTAACGATAAGAATGAAGTAGAGAATGCAAATGAGCAAGATGAGAGAAATAAAAAATGTCCTTGGTTGCTAAATGCCGCTGTGAGAAAATCATCAAATGGGCAATTTGTAATATGTAGATATTGCGGACTTCATACATGTTGCAACCCGTCGGTGGATGTCGATGATTATTCTGCATCTTCTTCTTATATATGTAAGCTAATTATGCCTGAAGTTAGAGCTGAACTTGATCTGAATGCAGGTCAGATATTTCAGAGGGTATATGACATGCGGGGGATTAAGATATCTAAATATGAGGCATATGATGCAAGGAGGAAAGCGTTGTCTAAAAATTTTGGAGATTGGGAAAAATCATATGAATTACTGCCATAGTATCTTGAAGCTATCAAACGAAATAATCCGGGTACTGAATACGAAATATTATCCGAAGAGATTGCACCGGGTATGGAGAGGTTCACTCGCGTGTTTTGGGCATTTGGTCCTGCTATTAAGGGCTTCACTTTTTGTCGTCCGCTATTGAGCATTGATGGTACACATTTATATGGAAAGTACAAAGGCGTGCTTCTTGTAGCGACCGGTGTAGATGCAAATGGCGGGTTATTTCCTCTAGCATTTGCAGTCGTGGAGGTGGAGGATACGTCTAGTTGGAAGTGGTTTTTTGAACTTATATACAAGTGGATTCCAAGTGTCCGTGCGCCAAGAATAATTACCTTTATTTCGGATAGGATGAAAGGAATTATAAGGGCGTTACATGAGGGTTTTAGTGCACCACATCACCATCGATATTGTTTAAGGCATATAAGAGATAATTTCAAGAAAAAACACGGTGAGATTAATTTGCAAAATCTTTTGTGGCAAGCCGGGTGTGCGACCGACACATTAGTGTATGAACATTGCAGGGAGAAAATCAAGTCTTTGTCATTAGATGCACATAATTGGATTGAAAATAACTTGAAGCCCCAATTCGAGCATCGGTGGGCATTATGTAAGGATGAGGGTGTGCGGTTTTGCATGATGACGACTAATTGCTCCGAGAGCTTTAATGGTGTTCTTAAAGGAGCACGAGCTATGCCAATACAATCTTTGGTTGCGAGAACATTCTATAGACTAAGCGCATACTTCAACAAAAGGCGTGGTGATGGCATAGACTGGACAACACGTTACACACCAAAAAATGAGTCCATTTTGCATAGAAGAATTGAGGCAGCAAGATCATGTCAAATTACCATATTCAACGACAACGAATGGCAGGTACAGGATTGTGACGGTATCTACACCGTTAAACTATTTGATGTTGATTGCACTTGCACATGTAACATACCACAACTCCAAAAAATACCCTGTGCACATGTGCTTGCGGCTTCTTCTAATCAGCCGGGAGGTGCTAGAATTTTCTATAATCGGTATTGCTCGCCTTGGTATTCAACAGCTCACTATCAAAAGACATATAGTGAGAGTTTTCATCCACCTGATGATAGTCGGTATTGGCCTGAATATAATGGACCACGTATAATTCCACCTCAGTACCGGAGACAAGCAGGTCGACCACGATCTGTGCGAATTAGGGGAACCATGGATCAAGGGCGAGAAGGAGTGGTCAAGCACAAAAAATGTAGTCTTTGCAAACAACCGGGACATACTCGACCTCGTTGTCCATCTAGACACAATAGATAGCAACTAATTGGTAATTTATATCATTTTTTTATTTTTATATACTTTAATAAAGAAACTGAATTACTATATGATTGATTATTGACATGTGTATAATTGTATGTGCAGGTTTGTACACCATGGATCCTGGGCCGGTTAGTGATGAGGTCTTATATGACCAGGCTCAGCATCGTTCACATATTATATCCTGTACAGAGGTAATTCAGTTACTTTATAATTGTAATATTTGCATTTACATAATATTGCATTCTTATACTATCATTGTCTATACAGAGAGGTCCGAGTATCGTTATGGTTGATCAGTGTTGTAAAAAGCGGCAAAAAGCGGGGCTATCGCGGCGCAAATCGCGGAAGCGGGGTAAACTATTTGATGTTGATTGCACTTGCACATGTAACATACCACAACTCCAAAAAATACCCTGTGCACATGTGCTTGCGGCTTCTTCTAATCAGCCGGGAGGTGCTAGAATTCCCAGAAATCGGTATTGCTCGCCTTGGTATTCAACAGCTCACTATCAAAAGACATATAGTGAGAGTTTTCATCCACCTGATGATAGTCGGTATTGGCCTGAATATAATGGACCACATATAGTTCCACCTCAGTACCGGAGACAAGCAGGTCGACCACGATCTGTGCGAATTAGGGGAACCATGGATCAAGGGCGAGAAGGAGTGGTCAAGCACAAAAGATGTAGTCTTTGCAAACAACCGGGACATACTCGACCTCGTTGTCCATCTAGACACAATAGATAGCAACTAATTGGTAATTTATATCATTTTTTTATTTTTATATACTTTAATAAAGAAACTGAATTACTATATGATTGATTATTGACATGTGTATAATTGTATGTGCAGGTTTGTACACCATGGATCCTGGGCCGGTTAGTGATGAGGTCTTATATGACCAGGCTCAGCATCGTTCACATATTATATCCTGTACAGAGGTAATTCAGTTACTTTATAATTGCAATATTTGCATTTACATAATATTGCATTCTTATACTATCATTTCCTGTACAGAGAGGTCCGAGTATCGTTATGGTTGATCATAGCCTCAGCCATAGCCGTTGGCGGTTAGAGGATGAGCGTATCATAGCAGCTGTGGGACGGGCCGGCTTCTTGACTTGTTCAAAGCTTCGTTGGATAAAGCTCGATTGGCCCCTACTCATCGCGTTGATGGATAGATGGAGACCTGAGACCAATACTTTCCACTTCCGGGTGGGCGAGGCTACCATTACTCTACAAGATGTAGCCGTGATACTCGGTCTCCGTATAGATGGTCCGTGCATTACCGGCACTGATAGTGATGTATGGCCTCGAAGATGTGAGGAGTTGTTAGATGTAGCTCCGGAGCCTATGCCTCGAGGAAATATTAAGTTGAAGTGGTTGAGAGAGATCTTCTCAGTACCGTTGTCTGTTGATGCCCCCACAAATTTTGGTTGACCAACATGCACGTGCATACATTATGCACATGATTGGTACTATATTATTTCCAGATTCAAGTAAAGATAAAGTGCATGCGAGGTATGTGTATTTATAATATGAATCTGTATTTCATTGAATTAGCTTATTTTAATAAATTGGAATATTGTGAATATGCTAGGTGGTTACCACTCCTCGAGGACTTGGACGTATGTGGTACAAAATCGTGGGGTAGTGCTGTTTTGGCGTATTTATATAGAGAGATGTCAAAAGTGGCACTTATACAAAACAGTGAGCTTAAAGGGTGTCTAAGCTTATTGCAAGTATGGGCATGGGAGAGACTTCATTTGAAGCCGAGACTATGCACGCATTTACAATTAGATGGACAAATTCCACTGGGATGCAGGTATTGTATTTTTTATGTAGCGAATATAACTGTAGTTATCATTGTGGTACTAAATGTATGACAAACATTTTTTTGTAGATGGAATGTCGAAAAATGCTATGACGAGACCCCGGCTAGACAATTGGATTTCTACCGGAATGAGCTTGACCGTATGAAGATTTTTCAGGTAATTCTCACCGAAAAACATGCGCTTTTTTTTCTACATACTGAAAACCCAATTCTGATATGCAACTGCATTAAATTATTATAGATGGAATGGGAGCCCTACACCCAATTTCTACCTCAGCTACCCCCAATATGCACAGAATACCAAGTTGTATGGAGAGCTAGAGTTCCTCTTATATGTTTGGAGATAGTAGAAATGCATGTACCGGACCGCGTGCTTCGACAATTTGGTCGTGCACAACATGTTCCGCAGTTTGTTGAAAAGATAGAGAGGAAGGCAAAGAAAGGAGGCCAACAAATAAACTGGATGATCGTGCATCAAGCTTTTATACACAGATGGAATGATAGGCATTTTTGTATTGTCAACCAAATTGAACCAACTCCTCGGGAATCAGATTACTACACTTGGTATTGGGACATAACCCGAAGATGGATACTTCATTCGACCACAATACCGGTTGAGTCGCAAAGAGGATATGTGCCCCGGGGTATAGATGAGAGAGAATTAGTAAGTATTTTCATATTTTGATCTAAGTCCATTTTTATTGGTACTAAATGTGTTGAAAAATTTGCAGGTATCAGCAATAGATGAAGTTCAAACTCTTGCAAATCGTGGCTTGGAATTGGCTAGAGCAGGTACGATAAAATTAAATCTCAAATTTACATTCTGTAATATCAAATTTAATATGAAATTTTGTTTTTGAACTATCTATCGCAGCAGATAGAAATCCCGAAGCACATGAACATGTATCAATATATCAGGCTATAATGCAGAGGCTTCAACAAGCCTTACACCGAACTCACGAAGATCGTCATGATGGACGGGAGGTAAGGTCATTCGTATATACACGACAACAGCGACAAAGTCGAGGACGACGCAGAAATAACGATGAAGCTGGACCTTCCCAACGTGTCGACGATGGAGCTGGACCGTCACAACCACAAACGCAACCGGATCACGAACTCGTCGAAGGGCGGTATGGAGGACGACGAAGACAAAGGAGGAGGAGGAGAGTTCTTGGATGTATGTAAACTACAGGTTATATACATTACAAAACTATTTAGGGATGTGATTTTTGGATTTGTAGTCGATAATATCATGTGATATGTTTGATTTCTAAGTGAGTTTGTGATGTTTTTATGTTGGATTTGTTAGTGGGAGTTTGTGGTGTTATTATGTTGGATTTGTTAGTGGGAGTTTGTGGTGTTATTATGTTGGATTTGTTAGTGGGACACTTCGTAAAACACATTCGGCTGCAAAACCGACCCTTTTCTTCAGAAAAGGGTCGGTTTTGCTAATATTTTTCACTTTAGGTCGATTTTGCCTATTAAATTCTTAAAAAGGTTGGTTTTAAAAATTTCTCCTTTCTAAAGTTAATGCGGCCTTATCTAAATTGAGAAGGGTTATGTGCAAAGCCCTCCAAAGTTCAGGAGGTTTGTGAAATTAGTCCTATTTTGAAACCCATATGGAGAGCATAAGCATAAATTGAAAAGTTCAATGATTTCGTATGTTTGCGAACTCGAAGTTTGTGATTATAAAACTTTTGACAAAGGGTTCTCTGAAGGCTTATGTAACAAAGCTTGTATTTTAAAATTCGACTTTAAACTAAGGCTTTTATATCCGCTGTCCTTAATTATAAAAATCATCCGTGTCTACCTTCTCTCTTCACGTGCGCATCGCGTGCGGCTGAGACTTCGGTTTTAGTCCCACATCGGCTGCGTTTCAACCCGAAGGGCTGGCAGCTGCGATAAAATGGGTCGCAGGGCTGCGTTCCAAAGCATACCTTTCTCGGCCTTTTGGCTAAGATCAAGTGTAGTATCTGTTCTTATCAGTTTAATATCTGATACGTGGGCCATCGGCCCACTATGATATTAAATTAATTTTTGTTGGGGGAGGGCCCATCCACAGCAGCTTGCTGCTGGGGTCCTCGAGCGTCGCCCGCGTGTTGCACTGCTGCACGGGCCTGGCGCACCCCTACCAAGTCATTAATTAAAAATTTCAGTCAGAGTTACTCGGAGTGAGATTAACAGTTTGTTGGGCTATCTGCACAAATTTTGACTTTTCCGTTTAAAAAGACATTTTGGAGTTACTAGTTTTGGTGAATATGGTTATCTAGTTTGAGATAGTTAGCAGAGATTAGAAGAGAAGATAAAAGTGAAAAAGAAGATAAAAGTGAAATTTGAAATATTCAAGTCCCATCTATCATCTATTATGTTAGTGGACTTGCCGCTAACAACATTTGAGTTTGAAATAGCTAATATTTATCAACATAAGTTTGAAATAGTCACTTATTCTAATTTTCCAACTTAATTATTTGTTTTGATACTTATAAGAAGATTTACTTATTGATGTTATAGGATTACATTGCTCTCTAATAAAATACGTAAAACTAAATACTAGTCAAGCTTGCCCTTACGTATTTACTAAGACATCAGAGAAAAAAAAGGAAATTTATACTTAATTAATATAAGATTGTATCGCTTCTATTTTTGTGAAAGAATACTTTAGTTAATTTTTTCAATGGCAAGGAGGTGATAAAATTTTATTATCAAATATCGTGTTTTACTATGTAACAATTGCAATCAAATTGACAAACATACAGAAAAACAAGGTCACAATGTAATAGCAAGCAAAAATGTTGGACAACCTTTACTTCAGCATCGGATATCTGCAAAAATTTAAAACTTCAAATATCAGCAGTTGAAAACCTCATGACAGCTAAACTGATACGTTGACAACCCCAAAATATTCTATAAGCTATATATTACACCATCTGAGGTGTAAAAATGAAATTATGAAACGTTTTGGTGGTCAGTATGGAACAAATCCCTCCAGTTTACTATACTTCGCAGTTTTCAATAGCTTGACACAATGAGTGTATTTTTCAATAGACAACTATCAACAGGTATAACCAAAAGTAAATATCTCTTAAACTAAGGGGCTGTTTGGTTCGCTATTATAAGGGGTGGAAAACTCAGAAAATCACTCCACGTCAGATTTTTAGCCCTCCACGTCAGCTTTTTTGTTTCCGTCCATTTCTTTGTGCCGCTTTGGTTCGCTCGAATGGAAGAGAGAAAACTCTGCTGAAATCGCCGCCAACTAAGATTTTTTTTCCTCTCCGATTTCCTTCCGCAACCAAGTGAAATTGATAAAAACTCTACCACGTCAGATTTTTTTCCTTCTCTGCTTTGTTTACAAAAGTTTTCCTTTTTTTCTATGCGAACCAAACACAAGAAAAATAAATACATTGGTTTCCCACCATTTTTTATGTGTGAACCAAAGCAAAACAATCTATTTCTTGGAAAAATTTGGAAAACTCAAAACTTGTGTTTCTTTACATGGAATTGCATTTCTCTATATCAAGAAAACGAACCAAACAGCCCCTAAATGCAAACTAAAAGGAACATGTTGAAACCTCCAAACTTTAAGGTCAATTACTGCCCGAACTGAATATAAATACAACTGTTTCTTTCTCTGAATTGGTTGCTTCACCAATAATGATATTGGATGAACTAAACCCTCACTATAGAATAACATTCAATTACATTTACTCAATGATACAAAAGGCAGACAAAAGAATGCAAAGATCTAAAAAAAAACAAAAACAAAAAGAAAGAAAGAAAAGAATTGTGTAATATTCTCACAACTATGTACTCTAAAAGTGTCCTTAAGTTCCCATCTCCACATCAAATTTTCATAAATTTATATTAATTCAGATGTACACACAATATTATCATAAACAAACAATTCTGCAGTTCAGATTTCCCGATGTGTCAGTTTCCTCTCTTTCTAGCTGTTATTGGTCTTTTGAGCAATTCATTGTTTTCAACAACTACCTTTTATATATTCTAATTTATGGTTTACTATCTATTTTCAGCATCTAAAGATAGTCTAAGTTGATACTGGTAAACAAAAACAATAAGAATTGATTAAAATATCCGGTTAAGGAATAAAAATTTTAAAAATATTATAGCTTAAAAATTATCGTCACTATATAAATTAAAGCAACTGCATATAATTTTACAAATAAGTTGGAGCAACAAAAACACATGAGTAACATTAATTGATAGATGCTTAAATCCATAAAAATGATAAAAGACTATAATATAACATCTTAGCATTAATTGATTATAATTTAGAAACATTAATCTTTGATGTTAATAACATTTATAGGGTAAAAGAATACAATAAATTACGTATAGAGAAACTATTAGAATGTTCAGAGATATCCTTTAAAAAAATCAAGTTATTTTCATTACAAATGGGAAAGTGACGGAAATAAAGCTAACATTCAGAAAACGTTCATGAATCATTTGAATTGGCATTAACATAAGACATATTTATTAAAAAAGCACTAACTGAGTTACGTTGAAAAATAATTTAATAATTTTATCCCTGTAGACATATAAAATTGCTTATAGGTCCCTTAGCTCAGCTCGGCACAAACCGACAAACCAACGAGGCAACGAGATTGACTAATCGCACGCAAGCAACGGAACACGTCCATTCGCGTGCGGGATCAAGCCAAGTGTTCGAAGAGTCAACGAGTCATCCAACCAAGGGCATACTCGGACGAATCACGATCGAATCAAGATCGGTTTCGGACTCGAACTCAGAAGTGGATTTACTGCCTAATCGGGATCCGGATTTACTGCCAAATCAGATCAACGAATCAAGTCTGGATAAATCAACCACAAAATCGAATCCGAACCTATCAACCGCAGAACTGGAAAACAGGCACAAAGAGGCAAAACGACAAACACCTGGAGGTCGGCTCACCGAGCCACCAAGGAGGCTCAGTGGCCGAGCCACCAAGTGGTGGCTCGGCCGAGCCACCTAGGTGCC